AATTTTCACTGTGTTCAGACTGGAGTCTCCTAGTGCTCCTAATGGTATTTGCAAGAATGACTGATTGAATTGATTGTTGAGTCTCATTCCTGGGAGATACAGACGCTTAGAGACTCTCACCAATCATCAATTTCAAGCCACCAACCAAAAGTTTCTTTATACCCTTCTCGTCTCTGATTGGTTGTTTTCACTCAGGACCGGTGCATTCTTGCAAATGTCATTAGGAGCTCTAGGAGGAGCCAGAGGAACCAGATTTTTTTCACAGATTATCTGTCTCATGTTCTACTGTCAAAGGAATACTGTATAAAATGACATACTGCAGCTTTAAATATATTTAAAGGGGCTGCATGAAATGTATATAGAAGGTTGGGGCAGTAACTATTTCCTTGTACTATGGGGGTGACAGTCTCAATTTATTGATAGCATGGGGGAGGGCATGTTTTTTTCTCATCATATTTATATTTTCTTGTAGCAAGTTGCTGGTTTGCTGTCCTTGTGCCACCGAGAACATTCAAGAACTTTCCAATTCATTCAGATTTGTGCAGTGCAATATGCACAAAAAGGTTGTGCAGAGTGCAGTGTAACTCAGCACATGTGGCCATCATCATTATCCCCTCAGCCACTCACATGACCCAATTCAAAACTTTTCAACAGCTGTTCCAAACACAGTGGCACATCTCATAAATGGCTGACCAAATGTGGAGAAGAGCACTCCTCTTCGAGCGGGAAAGTTTTTGTCATTCAGGCCAAAACTGCACTGTGTAAAAAAGGTAAGGTTGGTTCGGGTTAGAATTGGGCATGAGTGCAAGATCTCTGCAGCCACAGATAATGTTTTCAGTCTAACATCGCTCAATCTAAAGTTCGGTAGAACTGCAGCCGGGCGTAAGCGTGATGTTTGGAAGTATTTCGACAATATGACTGGAGATATGCTCCTGTTTAGGCTTTGTGGAAGGGGACAGCTTCTATGAGGTGATGTTTATTGAGACGGACAAGTTAACATAGCAGCAAATCTCTACAGTCTGTACAGTGTACACCCCACCCGCATTTTGGACCCTATTTTTCTGTTTGACTTTCCTGGCCAGTTTAATGCTAGTACTCGAATACGGAAATGACTTAAAATGCCCTGGTCCGTCCCTAGTTCATGCACCAGCACAGCACTGGCTAACGTAGTGTAACAAATGGGCCTAGTTTTTTTTTCACGCAATGTAGCCGTCTGTCTGCACTCAAAGCTCAAACTGTGTGTGGAGTCGCAGATGTAAACACTCAAGCGGGCCTTTTATTCACCAGATGATGTTTTTTAAAGCTTGTAATGTTTGTGGAGGTAATCAAAGTTCAGTCACTGTTTTCCTCGTGCATATTTCCATTGATCCAATAACCACAAACGTACTCAGCCTGAAGTAAAACAAAATGTGCACAATAAAAAGTAACATACAAGTTGTGTCTTTATTTTGCAGAATCAAATAGACTGGCTGTGCTTTAATCAAAGTAACCACAAAAGAACCTTGTCCTGTGTGTGTTGGAAGCATTTCTTCACCAGAGGCTGCAGATGTAACACGCATCCGTCTGCAATATAGGGACTAGGTATCAAGACGTCGAAAAACACGACTTCTAAGGCTGCTGTTGGTGTGTGAGCATAAGTTTGGGTAAGACTAAGTGTCTTACTGATGATGCAAGCTGCAGCCATATGTAGCATATGACCAAGCTTTCAGAACACTATCACACATCATCTTTGTGCTGTGACTCTGACCTATATATGTGTATAGGTTGGCCTGTTGGTATAATTAATTAATTTTATATATATATATA